GGTGAAGAGATTAACTGGAAGCTGCTCTGTAAACATGTCAGAGGTGTCTCTGATGCATGAGCAGAACTGTTTAGCAAACACAACCCTCTATCTCTTCCTCCTCAAATATTTTAGTCCCACTTTCCTGCAGTAAAAGAGCTCACTCATATATTGATGTGCTACACGAGAAATATTTCTCTTGATCCACAAAAACTCCCAGGATTAAACTGTCCACATAAACTCCCAGGATTAAACTATTTGCATGATCTCAATAGGGGTTTTTAGGAAGCAAATTGAAGATAATAAATGAAAAATATCTTTTTATCTGAAATGCTGTGCCCGTTCACATGAAATAATACAGGGTAGCAAACTGAGATTTCCAAATACAAACTGAGTGGGATGGGGGCAGAGAGAAATTATTTTGTGAGGCTTGTGGGCAAGATGCTGAAATTATCACGTGCTGTACATCACTGTGTTCACTTGGATTTTTCCAGCAATGTTTGTATCTATTTAATAATGATATTTCTTTCTGTTGCATGAAGATCAGGCTTGGGATAGGAGAGGCATCAGGAGATTTTGGTAACAGTGGGATGTTTCATCCTTAGCATAAATATCTATTGTGTACACAGAGCACAGATGTCACTGCGAGGGTATAAAATTTTACATTATAGAACTGGGCACTGATCAGCTTTACTGCCCTTAATTACAACTTCTCCATTAATAAACATGAGGCAGCAGCTTTCATCCCTATGACTCCCAAGGGCTGCCAAGGCTTTGTAGAGGGACCAGGGCTGGATAAGGATCTGCCAGCAACAAAGATGTGAGAAGTGCGGTTTGGGAGGGGAATTACTCTCTCCAGTAAAGGAGATGCTCTTGCAGCTAGATGAGAACTTTTGGAGTGAAGCTGTTCCACAGACCCTGCACTGTCAATCCCTCCAGTGTGGGGCCCTGCTTTGTCCTGGGCTGCCTGTGGGCTCTGGGGGTCCCAGTGCCTCGGGAGGGGCTGCAGGGAACACTTTTTTCTTCTTTTCCGGGTCTGTGCTTTGTCAGCAGCTTGTTTAAACCCAGTCAGTGAGAGCAGAGCCCCAGCACTGCCTCTCAAGGTGCTCTTTGTGGGGCTTTTAGGATGTTCTTTGTCTTAGGAGAGGTTTTACAGGGCTGCTGATGGGGACGAGGCAGCAAGGAAAGAAGGAAAACCACATGGACCTCACCTGAGTTGCTTTAGTGCTTTTTTTAAGGACAGAACACACAAAGCACCAGAGAACACTGCACAGCCAGAGCTCTGCTGGCTAACAGGGAAAAATGCAGATCCCAGTGCCCCCCAGCACAGCCCCTCCTCTCTGAGCATCCCGGAGGGCTCGGGATCCCGGGAATGCCGCGTTTGTTTAGAGTCAGGGCAGGGCAGGGATGCCTGTGCTCCCAGGAGAGGAGGGGGTGCCACAGTGATGCCTCACACACCTCCGGGGGGCTGGGGGAGCAGGCAGGGCTGGGCTCTGGCACAGCCTGCCCTGCAGATAACCCAGCCATGGCCCTGCAGACAGAGAGAGCACCCACCTCCTGCAGCTCCTGCTGTGGTGCTGAGACACTCTGCACCCTCTTGGAATACTCTGCACCACCCTGGAATCCTCTGCACCACCCTGGAATACTCTGCACCTCCCTGAAATACTGTGTACCTCCCTGAAATAATCTGTACCCTCCTGAAATGCTCTGCACCCTCCTGAAGCACTCTGCACCTTCCTGAAATGCTCTGCACCTTCCTGAAATTCTCTACACCTTCCTGAAATGCTCTGCACCTTCCTGAAACACTCTGCATTTTGCTGAAATACTCTGCACATTGCTGAAATATTGAAACACCGACAGGGGATGGCAAAGATGTGCTCTCCAACTCCACAGTACTGAGGGTTTGTCCTGAAACTTGGAATTTAATTAAGCCCTGCCTTAGCTGGAAAACCTTTAGGGTTTGTTGTTTGGTTTTTTTTCTTCTCTTTTAATGTCTTTTTTTTTACAGCTCCACTGACCCTGCTTGTGTGAGGTCTGACAATCTCTCAGTTCAGTCATGTTCTGCAGACTGGAGTTTTTTAGGGCTTGTCTCCATCACTTCTCTGGTCAAAGTCTTCATTTTTCCATCCCAGCTCTCTGGATGGGAGATGATCCATGAACAGATCTGTTTTCCAGCTAGGTCAGGTTCCTCAGAGTGCCCTATGATTTAATTGATTCATTAATTAACCTTCTTGGTTTGATTTGGGATGATTCTGGAGGTTCCTGGGTTTGTGTTGATCACAGGTGTGAGCCCACATGCCCCAGTGTGAGCTCCAGAAATGCAAAATCTGAGCCACAGTGTTCTGCTCAGCCTGGCCTCGGGCTGGGGGCTGCTGGCCTGGGATATTTGCATTTCTTGGTTGGCCAAACCAAGGGAATATGTGCTGAGCCTCGAGCAGGGACCCCTCTGATGCAAAGGTTTGTGTCTCTCATTATAAAATTAGGCTCAGCAGCATCTTGAGTGTGCTGTTTCCACAGGAAAAGGGAAATGTCAATATTTAGATGCCTTTTAAAACCACAGTGTGAACCAAAGGTTCCTCTCAGCTGTGTGGGTGCAAATAGGAAGGGCAGCCTTGCTGTGTGTGCCAGGCTCAGATCCTGAGCCCAGCCTTCCTGCCCTTCACCCATTTCCTGCGTGTGCCTGGATAAGGCTCTTCCCTTTGGAAAAGGGGCAGAGTTTTCCTCTGCCCACCCTCCTCGGGGCTGAAGAAGAGGATTTGTCCTCCAGAAGTGCAGCATCCAGCCCAAGGAGCCAGCAGTGTTGATGAATAACAGGAAAAGTTGGCTGTTCTCCTTTTTTTGTAGTGTAGAGCCCAGGCCCAGCCCAGGGGGGATTCCTGGGGGCCTGACTCCAACATTTGGCTTTGTCCCAATCCAAAGTGGACTCCCATGCTCAAGGCAAAAGCCAGGCTGGACCATGAGGCCAAGGGGGCTGCTGTCCAGCCCTGGCAGCTGCCCTGGTGCCACAAAAAGCCATTGTTCATGAAATGCCTGCAGCCAACAGCGGGCCCTGGTCGCCAGCTGAGCTGACAAATTTGAGTTCTTGAGCTGCAGCTTCAGGCCAGCTGCTGCCTCACAGCAAATGCTCTGCACAAAAATACAAGGCATCACGTTTCCTATTTGGGTGCTATCTCTCTGGACATTACTTGCACTTTCTGATAAGAAATTCATGCTGAGGCACAGCCAGTGTCCCACTGACTGGGGAGCAGACAGTCCATTTTAAAGCTAAAAGCAAAATCTATCTTGTACTGAAAAAAAAACTAAAAAATTACATCTGCAGATTTCTCTTTGCAAAAATGCCTCGGGTGACTAAAGCTACCTGCTGGCTCTGGCTGCTCCATCCCTGGAAGTGCCCAAGGCCAGGCTGGACAGGGCTTGGAGCAACCAGGGACAGTGGGGCAGGGGGTGGGATGAGATGAGATGAGATTTAAGGTTCTTTCCCACCCAAAGCATTCCATGATTCTGTGATCTTGTAATGAGTAAGTATGAGATGAAGAATTCACAGAATGACAATGAGAAAAACCCTATCTTTTATATAGGGATCACAGACTAGATCCCTATTTTTCATATTTCAGAATCATTAGGGTTGAAAAGGACCTCTGGAGATCACTGAGTCCAGCTCCCAGCCAAGGCAGGGTCACTGGAGCAGGTGGGAGGAATGCATCCAGGTGGGTTTGGGGTGACTCCCCAGAGGGAGATCCAAACCTCCCTGGGCAGCTGTTCCAGGGCTCTCATGGAAAGAGGTTCTTCCTCATTTTGAGGTGGAATTTCTTGTGTTTTACTTACAAATCCAATATATGTAAGTCTAATATAATAAATCTAAATAATGAAGATTAGCAGTGCTCTTCAAAAGCCTCAGGCAGGAAAAGGTGATGATGAAACATATCACAGTAATCTTACTATTATCTATTTCTTTATTGCACTGACCACAGCACACACAAGGTATGGGAATAAATCACATGGACTCAATTTTCTTCATGGTGGAACAAGCCCCTTCTTTATTCACATAACTGGTTTTTATACAGTTTTACAGACCTTGTGGGTTAGCAGCTTTCTTGCCAATCACTTTATTGGTCAGTAACAAGTTGTTATCCTGTATTGATTGGTCAAACTCTGGTCTGTAGTGCAGGGAAAGTTGTTTGTGAGAGATAGTTTTCATTTTTCTAACAGTGTAAAACCAGTTTACACAGGTGCAGGTTGTTTTTCACCCAGGAGTAGATTGTTATGTTAACAACTGCTCACACCAGGATTGCTTCACATGGGAATTGCAAAGTGCCAGCTTGCCTTAGAAGAAATGACAGGCCAGGCAGAGCAGGCTGATTTTATGAAGCCTTTCTTGATGATTTTCCTACCTCACTGCAACCATAAAGTGCCACATTTAACTCTGGCACCAGTGCTCCAGAGAGGCTGCTCAGTGTGAAAAGGGGTGGGTGAATCAAACCGAGATCCAAGTGGGAAGGGGATCCCAGCAGGGTGAGAACCAGGTGGAAAGCAGATTCCATCAGGGTGGGAACCAGATGGAAGGGATCCCAGCAGGGTGAGAACCAGGTGGAAAGCAGATTCCATCAGGGTGGGAGCCAGGTGGAAGGGATCCCAGCAGGGTGAGATCCAGGTGGAAAGCAGATTCCATCAGGGTGGGAACCAGATGGAAGGGATCCCAGCAGGGTGAGAACCAGGTGGGAAGGGGATCCTAGGAGGGTGAGAACCAAGTGGGAAGGGGATCCCAGCAGGGTGAGATCCAGGTGGAAGGGCATCCCAGCAGGGTGAGATCCAGGTGGAAAGGGGATCCCAGCAGGATGGGAACCAGGTGGGAAGCAGATCCCAGCAGGGTGGGAACCAGGTGGAAAGCGGATCCCAGCAGGGTGGGAACCAGGTGGGAAGGGATCCCAGCAGGGTGGGAACGCCGAGCTGGAAGCGAGGAGCCTGGCGGTGGGTGCGACACTGCGACACTGTGACAATGTGGGTGCGCTCCCTGTCCCCAGCACAGCCTGGCCAAGGCTCTCTACGACAACAAGGCGGAGTGCTCGGACGAGCTGGCGTTCCGCAGAGGGGACATCGTGACGGTGCTGGAGCAGCACGTGGCGGGCAGCGAGGGCTGGTGGCGCTGCTCCCTGCACGGCCACCACGGGCTGGCCCCCGCCAACCGCCTGCAGCTCCTGCCGCCCTCCACAGCCCACGGCCCCGCCGAGCCGCCAGCCACGCTCAGCATCTACCAGGTGCCCTCCGTGCCCAAGGCCACGCTGGCCTCGGCCACCTACGAGAAGATGGAGGGCTGGGTGCAGCCCCAGGCCGTGTACCAGGTGCCGGCCCTGGCGGCGCGGCTGCTCAGCGAGAGGACCAAGCGCTCCACGCAGCAGGTGAGCTCTGGAAAAGCAGATGTTGTTGTTTAAAACGATGGCTGGGAGGGGGGGGAAAAAAGGAAGCCTGAGATTTTCGGTGGTGTTTGCAGCAGAAGAATGATGGTGTTTAGGAAACTCCCATCAATTTATAGAATAGTGTGAGAAATGCTGCTCTGGGCGACAGATGAGAGTCTCTGCATTCCGTGCTCCCTCACCTTTCTGACAGTTTGAAACAGCTGTAAAACAGGGCAGGAAGTAAAGAATATACCATTTGTCTGGGAGAATCTATAAATGATTTACAAAGTTAAAATAACAAGAGACAGGACTTTCTCCAGCAGCCATCCAGAGCCCTCTGGGCACATGTGGAGTCTCTGCATCCATCTGCACAGGAACATGATTCATCATTTTTTAAAAATCACCCTTTGGTGTGTGATTGCTGGGTTTGGTCTGGTTTTCACTGTCTCCAGCAGCTCAGCAAGCTCAGAATTCTGCTGCCTCTCTCTTGTGCTGTCACTGGGCTTGCACCAAGCTGCAGCCCCTGCCAGATGCAGAAGGACACAAAGTTTTGTTGTGTGCCCTCAGCCAGTTTCTCTCCCAGCCTATTTCTGCTGCTGAGATGTTGACCAAGGTGTACAGGAGGGGAGCTGCCACCAGTTCCCTCAGTTACTGAGGAGAACAAACTGGTTTTCTAAGGTTTCATTGCAGCTCCCTTGCCTGGCTCTTCTTTCTCCCAGCTCCTCAAATGTACATGGAACATGCAATTTGATTACATCTCGCTGGTTTTAACATCAAAACCTTGTGCTTTCTTCAGGAAAAAATGAGTGGGGAATGTTTCATAATGAAAGGGAAATGGAGCAGGTGGGCACAGAGTTCAAGTGCAAGGTTTTGTTCAGTTCTGTGAGCTCTCCAGCCCTGGGTGGCTCTTTATTCTGTGTACGGAAATCACATTTGAAATTCTAATTGAAAAAGAAAAGGAAGAAAATCCAGCTATATAGTGTTTTAGGCTGATTTAATGATCGTTTGATTTATGGGGCTCATTCAGCCACCTTGCCTCCTGCTGTGTGGAAGGCCAGTCATGGAAACCATGCTGCTTCCTGCTGGGTGGCAGGTGGGTGCTGGAAAACAACAAACTCAGGGCATCCCTGCTGACCAAAACCTCATTTTCAGCTCTGCAGCTGCACTGCACAACCATAACTCAAAGTCAAACCGAGTACAGCTACAAGAGACTCTTCTGCACTTGCTGTCATTGATTTCTCCACAATTCCTGACCCTAAAGGAGCCATTTGCAAACTGAATCAGAAACTGGCATCAATTTTCCATGTTGTGCCAGCAAATCAGGTGGAAAATGTCATCTATTCATTATGTGGATGAATGGCCTGGCAGAGCAGCTCCTTGGCTCTCCCTGCCTCATCTCATGAATTTATCCACCTAAGCTGTGCCTAGTCTAAGAATGAAAAAGAGTGAAGGAGGAAAAAGAAATGTCCCAGCCTCTGATGATTATCCAGAAGTTGAGAGTGGGGCTGCCTGTGGCACAGTGTCCCAGCTGTCCCCACACCAGCTGCACCCTGGTGGTCACAAGCTGTCCCCAAGGCAGGGGAGCTCAGGGAGCACAGAACAATCCAGGCCATCCCACAGAGATCCTGTGGCACAGCTGGCAAAGCTCCTGCCATACTCAGCTGTCCTCTGAGCAGCTGGGAAAAGCCACTGTGAGTCTTTGAGGGAGCTGGTTGAAAGCAGTGAAACAAGAATAAATCCCTCAGAGCCTGGGTGTTTTCACCCCACAGAGAAACCTCCTTGCTTCTGCCTCACACCCAGGGCACCTTCTGGTTCTGCTGCCACTGACAGGACTTGCAGAAGTACCAGGATGTGATATCCAGTGAGTTTCCTTTCTGCTGGATTCTCAGATTTGTCCATCTGGAAGCAGACCTGGCCTAAGGATGGCTTTTATCTTTTACCCTTTCCCTCAGGGAAGCTGTGCCTCTTTTGCAAGGAAGGTGCTCATACTCAGGCACAGGTTGCCCAGGATTCCCCATCCCTGGAGCAGTTCCAGGCCACATTGGAGGGGGTTTGGAGCAGCCTGGGATAGTGGAAGGTGTTCCTGCCCTCTGCAGGGGGTGGAAGAGATGCTCTTGTAGATCCCTCCCAACCCAGAGCATTTTGTGACTCTGTGATTCTCCATCACAGCACTAAGAGGATTTGTGTTCACTCCTCATTCCCTGTTTCCAGGTGAGAGCTGAACCAGGCAGAGTGAAGCTGCACTCTCCTTCCTCCATCATATTTCCCCTACATTTAGCTGCTGCAGGACTTGCACAATGGCAATCACTCTCTCCAGCTGAAAACCAGTTTAAAGTTTAAAATTTCCTGTAATATCTCACCCCAGCAGTGTTTCTGGAGGTTTGCAGGGGCCCATTTATATATTAGCTGAGGGCAGCCAGGCTAAAGGCAGGCTGCATGAACAAAATTCCATCTTTTCGTGGTTGATTCTAAAAAAGAAAAATCCTAACCCAGCATTCATATTTTGTGACATTAATTGTCCCACAGATCTGGTCATGGCAGCTCAAATTATGATTTAATCAAAAAGGAGAATCTGACTGCAAAGATATAATTCCCTGTTTCTGGAGCTGGACAGGACATCAAGGTTTAATCCTTCCAAATGAGTCACTAGTTCATAACTACAGAATAATGCTCAGCCTGCACTTTTCTGCTGCTCTGACATTAAATTGGCTTGACCCAATGACTGTGGGCTTGGAGAAGTTGAAATTTCCCCACTTCCTTTTTTAAGTGGTTCTGCTTTTGGGCAGTTTAAAGGTTTTAAGTGATAACTGCAGCTGGATTTTCTCCAAATCTTTTCTGCCCTGTGGTTTGTAAGGCAGATTGTTTTTGTGCCAGTTCAGATCTTATCTAAAATGTACCAAACATGCTAGTAAAGGAGAATTATTTGAGAATAAACATGCTATTGCTCCTAAGGTCAGTTCCTATCTCGCACCTTCAGTGAAGAGCTGAAGTTTTTTATCACTTAGGAGTGACTACTCCAGCAGTGGCTTTTTCAGCTAAATGACTTTTCAAAGCTTCCTGTTGATGCAGTTTTATTATTATTATTTATTTTTTCTCCCCTCCAAGCACCTGTTTACCCTCCCCAGAGCCTGCAGGGCCTCAGCCCCAAACATCAGGGGTGAGGTGTACGATGTCCCCTCCTCGCAGCACCGCTCCCTGCTCCCACAGGTGAGTCCTGCCCCCTCCCTCCCTGCAGCTGCCACCTCAGAGCAGATCTGCAGTCAATTCCACTGTCACCCTGCTTGATTTTTGCCAATTTGGGAAGAAATAATCTCTTTTTAGCTCAAAACCTCAGTTCTCCTGAGTTTCTTAGACATTTAGAGCAATGTGTCTTAAATCTGGCGTGTTTCTAATAAACACTTCCATTTTTTCTGTCAGTAACACTGATAGAAAAACACTGATAGATATCAGTGACACTGATACAGAAAATTCAAAAAGACATCTCTAGTGTCACCCTCTCTACCTTGGAATCCATGGGAAAATGCCTTACTGACAGAAAAAAATGGAAGTGTTTATTAGAAATGCACCAGATTTAAAACACATTGCTCTGAATTTCTTAGAAAGTCTGGAGAACTGAGACTTTTGAGCTAAAAATGGATGATTTTCTTCCCAATTTTACAAAAAGCAAACGGGGTGACAGTAGAATTGACCTGTCACCCGCTCTGCCTCGGAATCCCTGAGGAAAGCTGGGGGTGTCATTTGGTGGGGGTGTCTTGGGGATGTTTAGAGAAGAGTCACAAGCGCATGCCCAGCAAGAAATTAAATGTCACCTCCCCACCCTCCTCCTAGAAATAACACACCCTGGCTTTGGTCACATCCCCATGATGTGTCCTGTTACATAATCCTGTCCCTGGTGCTGTCCCACTCCCCTGGGCTCAGTGAATGTCTCATTTCTTCCACCTCTGAGAGGGGACAGGCACCAGTCCCCAGCCTGTCCTGTCACCTCCCACAGCAAGGAGTGAGTGGCACTGCAGCACATCCAGGGCTCCCCACTCCCTGCTGCCCCTGGCAGTGCAGGCTGGAGCCCAGTCCATCATTATCCACAGATTTCCTGGGTGACCCCTGCTCAGACCCAGACCTACTCATGCGTGGCCCAAAGCCTTTGATCCCACTCAAGGCCCCAGTGGGCTCTAAGGAGGATCAAAATAAACCAATTTTCTTCCCTTTGAGCAGAGTGGTGCCACTCCCCCCAGCACACGGAAGGGCTCCATGCTGGGCAGATCCCCTGAGCAGAAGCAGAAGCAGCTGTACAACATCCCATCCAAGCCAGAAAAAGGAGGAGCTGGCAGCCAGGACTCACCAGCAGGCAATGTAAGTAAGGCTTGGTGGGCACAGAAGAATCTGTCACTCCTAGCATGCCTGCCTTGGAGCAGGGACAGGTTTCCCATCTCCTCCCCACTGTTTCTTACACAACAAATGGTCCTGAGTGTCCCTTTTCCAGCTTAGACTCCAGCTGTATGCACAAATATTTGTATCAAGCAAAATTTAAAGTCATTGAAGATGTTTGAGCAGAGTCAGTGGTGTCTGTTGGTGAGTTATTGCTTGAAAGGGTGTGCATGTGAGTGGGGAAAAAAATCAAGTGTCTACAGATTTCACTGGCTGGGGACTCTGCTGTAGGATCTAATCACCTGTGCTCCAAATATTTTACCTTTGATACATGCAGCTTGTGCATGTTGGAAAATAAAAAATAGAGGCAGCCTTTCTGTGGTGCTGTTCCACTGACATCAGTGGAGTTGCACACATCTGTGTGCTCTGAGAATTCAGTTCTGCTTCTCATTCTTGTTCAAAAAGATGGTTTATGAACCCTCTGTGCTCTGTTGCAGTTATATGATGTCCCTCCCAAAAGAGAGCTCGATGACTCAGAAAATAAATCTCAGAAGAAGTGCTGGGGCCATTACAACACCTTGCCAAACCCTCGGAAATCCGAATGGATTTACGATATTCCAGTATCCCCTGAAAATTCCGGGTTCAAAGCCAACCCTCCTGGGCAGCCTGTGGAGAAGCAGGTGCTGTATGACATTCCCCCAGCCAGGTACAAGGCTGCAGCCACAGCCACTGAAGGCAGGGCTGGGAATCCACAGCTGTACGACATTCCACCGGCCCAGCGGAAATTAACGCTTCCAGCAATCCCCCTGTACGACGTTCCACCCTCACGGGACGTGCTCCTCCTGCCACAGAACAGCAGCTCTGAGCTGCCCCCGAGGCTCCTGGCTGCCAAGGCTGAGAATCAGATCTCTGAGGAGAACGTTTATGATATTCCCAAAGGTTTGCCCAGTGCTGGACACTCCAAAGAGATGGAAAACAGTGATGGCTCGAGAGACCAAGCACACGGTGCTTCTCCACAGCTCTCCTTGGATGCCAAGTCAGAAAATGACAGTTTGTGTGTCTCTAGTGTGGACAGCAGAAGCAGCACTCTCTCCTCATCCTCCAGCTCTGCTGCTGAGTCATTTTCTACACTGTCGCCATCACCAGAGCCTGTCCAAGAAATCAAACTGGAGCTGGAAGCAGCCATCGAGACCCTGACTCGGCTGCAGCACGGCGTGTCCAGCTCCATCGCCAGTTTAATGATCTTTGTGAGCAGCAAGTGGAGATTGCAGGAGCACCTGGAGAAAAGCCTGGAGGAGATCCACAGAGCAGTGGACCACATAAAGGTATCACTTGGCGAGTTCCTGGCCTTTGCTCAAGCCCTGAAGGGAAACGCCTCCAACCTCACGGATAACAACCTGCAGGCCAGAATTAAAAAGCAGCTGGAAATCCTCATGAATTCCTACAAAATATTGACAGAAACGAGGGAAGCTCTCAACAGCTGCAGCTGGTCCCTGGAGGCTTTGGTGCTCAGGAAGCCCCAGAACAACCCTGATGACCTGGATCGCTTCGTTATGGTGGCCAGGACAATTCCAGACGATATCAAGAGGTTTGTGTCCATCATCATCGCCAACGGGAAGCTGCTCTTCAGGAAGAACGAGAAGGAGCAAGAAAAGAAGCAGCCAGAAGTGAACCTGGAATGCAAAATGGCAAAACAAATCCCAGTGCCAAGAAGAGTAGAAATTGAGTCACTCCAGAGAAATGCTCCTCAGAAATCCAGCCAAAGCCAGGTCCCTGTGGAGAAACCAGAAGAAAATTGCAGCGAGGATTGTGATTATGTCCAGTTACAGGTCAGTGACACGGGGGTTTATTTTCTGTACTCCTCACCCTTTGCAGGTGTTGGGCTGTTAACATCAGCACTATTCCACCTTTGCAGTGCCACATTCAGTTTGCTCTATGTCCCACTTTCCAGGCTTTACGAAGATCCAGGACTTTGTGACAGTGCTGGATGGCACGTGTACAATGAGCAGTAGAGAGAGTGAGAGAAAATCAAAATTTTTATCACTCTTGCCAGCTTAAATTCATTTGGGAAGTAGGTTTCATTGGAAGTTAGCAACACCTTACGTCTCTTTTCACTCACAGTTCTCTTCCTGCCACTACATTGTGTCTAGCACGACAGGAGATGTTCCTTCCTAACTTGATGTGTCATGGAAATCCTGTTTGCATAGAAATTAAACTCTGTGAATTATCACATTTATTTGTTGGAATCATTCTGGATGATTGTAAGAATCTCCTTAGAATCACTAAAGTATCTACTAAGAATATCTCCCTTAGTTTCCCAAAGAAATGCTGATTGTCCTTAAAATTTAGGGAATGTTACATTGAAATGTTTTGTTGATGTTGCTTTCAGTCTCAGATTTTGCAAGATCAGGCACTGCATTTTTAGGAGGAAAAAACCTACAGCTCCTTCTAATAAATCCCCCACTTCTATTTGCAACATGAAGGCTGCAGAACAAGCAGTTGTTTCCCCGTGAAATAAGAGAAAACCACATTTTTATTTAAATACTTTATGTAGTTGTTTCAACTTTGCTTTCATTTCAATTTGTAACAGGCACAGAAAGTCATTTCAGGTAAAGAAGTAGCAAAGAAGAGTACAGAGTCAAACCCAAAGGTATTTCTGACTTGGAAAATATTATTTATGAGGGCTTTTAGTCCCTGATTTCTGTGCTTGCTAAACTCAGAATAATCTGCATTCAGACACCCATGTCTACACATAGAGACCTATTTGCTTCTCAGAGATCATTTTCCCAGAATTACTGCTGAAAACCTGTGAAGAACACTTATTTACCTCAATCAAACAACTCCAGTTTGATGTCATACCATTTATTTTATTGCCTTTCAGCATCATTTGAGATAAGGCTGTGAGGATCAGTATTTCAAAGTATCTTGTCGTGCACTAGCACAAAATTGCCTTGTTTTGTGCATTTTAATCATTCATAACCCTGATTAGATCCATTAAAGATCAATGTTTTGTATTATTTGAAAGCTTCAAGGCCAGGCTGTGTAAAGGATTGATGTTCAGCTGCAGCACTTTGCGTGCTATCCAATATTAAAATTGTATTTAGGAGGAAAAAAGCAATCAGGAGAATTTCCAACACTTTATGGAAAGAGAAATTACTGTAAAGGCTCCGGGGTGTGGCGATTTGGAGACCACAAAAATTCAGGGTAGAGCAACCACAGAAACAACCAGCGTGTGACGCCAGGCTGAATCTATTTCTATTTTAACCCTTTCTCCAGGTCTTGCCATGTGCAAAAAAGACTGAAAACGCCAGCAGGAAAATCCCCCTCCCCGAGCACTGCAGGCTGTGCTTCGCTGCCCTGCACAAGGCCATCGGCGTGTTCACCGCCAGCCTCAGCAGCCAGCAGCCCCCCGAAATCTTCATCTCCCACAGCAAACTCATCATCATGGTGGGCCAGAGGCTGGTGGATTCCCTGTGCCAGGAGAGCCAGGAGAGGGAGGCCCGGAGCGACGTCCTGCACGGCAGCAGCCGCTTCTGCAGCCTCCTGAAGAAGCTGGCCCTGGCCACCAAGAGCGCGGCCCTCACGTACCCCAACGCCGAGGCCAGCCGGGAGCTGCAGGAGCACACCGAGGAGCTGGCCCAGTACGCGCAGCAGTTCCGAGCCATGCTGGACTGAGGGACCGCTGCTCCTCGGGGCACTGCTCGCACACAGCTCCCTGAGGGACTCGCTGCCCGCAGGTGAAGATCCCCACGCTCAGAATTCCCTCCAGGAATTCCCTGGTAGCAGGTGAAGATCCCCACACTCAGAATTCCCTCCAGGGACTCACTGGCTGCAGGTGAAGATCCCCACTCAGAACTCCCACCAGGAATTCCCTGGGTGCCAGTGCAAGTGAAGATCCCCCTACTCAGAATTCCCTCCAGGAACTCCCTGGATGTCAGTGCAGGTGAAGATCCCCACGCTCAGAATTCCCTCCAGGGACTCACTGGTAGCAGGTGAAGATCCCCACACTCAGAATTCCTTCCAGGAATTGCCTGATAGCAGGTAAAGATTCCCTCACTCAGAACTCCCACCAGGAATTCCCTGGGTGCTGGTTCATGTGAAGATCCCCACACTCAGAATTCCCACCAGGAATTCCCTGGATACCTCTACAGGTGAAGATCCCCCCACTCAAAATTCTCACCAGGAATTCCCTGGGTGTACTGTTGGCAGGTGAAGATCTCCATTCAGAATTCCCACCAGGAATTCCCTGGGTGCTGGTTCTGGTGAAGATGCCCACACTCAGAATTCCCACCAGGAATTCCCTGGGTGCTCTGGTAGCCAGGGGAAGATCCCCACAGCAGCTGATGCAGAAGAATTAAATCTGCACTTTCCACTCTTCACGTCCTGCCTGGAAATGTCATTGTCACAGCAGCTGGGTGGGAATGTTTGCTGTGTATTGGAGCAAAAGTTGTTGATTATGGGACTGATTTCTTATTTTTTATTCTCTATGTATGTCTGATAAATGTATTTTCCTTTTTAATTTTTTTTCTGTTCCTGTAAAGTCTGTCTTCTTCACCTTCACATCCTGCCTGGAAATGTCATTGTCACAGCAGCTGGGTGGGAATGTTTGCTGTGTATTGGAGCAAAAGTTGTTGATTATGGGACTGATTTCTTATTTTTTATTCTCTATGTATGTCTGATAAATGTATTTTCCTTTTTAATTGTTTTTTTTTCTGTTCCTGTAAAGTCTGTCTTTAAATGTAGCTGCACAATGTTCTGTAACTTATGATATTCCAATATCAATAGTTTCCTGAGGAGTTTACTCAAAATTTGTAATGTCAGGTTTGGTTTGGGTTTTTTTCAACAGCTGCAAAGCTAATTTTTGGTTTTAACAAATGCAACACAGTGCAAAATCTGGTGAGTAGGAAATGCACCAGGCTGGTACTTGAGCACAGAAAAAAACTTTGGGAGAAGTCCTGACTCCTGATAAATCCCCAGGAAGCACATCATCCTCTGTCACAGCCCAGAGCTCCCAGAGCACTTCTCCATCTGGGGAAAAAAACATTTCTTTCAGTCCCTAAAGGTGCACAGGCTCTGAGCAGCTGGACAGTTGATGTTATTCCCTACTGGAATTCCATTTATTTCGGTCACTAGAGGTGCAGAGCTTTGGGCAGCTGGACAGGTGATGTTATTCCCTGCTGGAATTCCCGCTCTGGGCTCCAGCCCAGCCCTCAGAGCCTTGGCCTGTGCAGGTTTTTAACTTTATCCCCCAGTTTTCTGGACATAAAAAATTCTGGGTGTGACAAAGACACTCCGGCCTCGCGCGGCTACACCCGCGCTAATTGTAATTAGTTCTGCGAATTAATTTATTTTACGGCTACAAGGCCCGGCCTTTGCTGGGTGTCCGCCCTCACAAGGGACAATCACGGCGTGAGCAGCCCCGGGGAGCCGCTGCCCCCTCAGCATCGTTCTCCTTGTCACCCCCGTGTTTTCGGGGTGATTTATCGCCGACATGGGTCACTATCACCGCGACATCACACTCGGGACAGCGCTCGCATCCCCCCGGGAATTCTGTGGAGCAAACTCGCTCCTGTGCCGCCCCTGACGGAGCTGAGGGCGGGACGCGCCTCCTCAGCGCCCCCGCCAGCCCGCACCGCCTCGGGAGCGCCTCGTTTGGCCGGAAATCCTCCCAAAATGGATATCCCGGGGGATTTCCTCATAAAAACCAGGGATAAACCTGCGGGAAAGGGGCGGGAAGGCCGCTGGGAACACCCTCCTCCCCTCCCGCTGAGGTGGTACGTTCCTCGCGCCCCCGGTCCCGGCGCGATGGGCTCGCCCGGCGCGCCCCGCCCGAGACCCATGGCCACGCCCCCAGCCACCCGTTGCTAAGCAACAGTGATCGCTGCTAAGTTATCGTTGCTAGGCAATAGCGTCATTGGAGTGCGCCGGAAGTGGCTCGGCGTACGCGGAAGTGCGCAGGGAAGGAGAACCCGGAAGCGCCATGGGATGCGATGGCGGCACCATCCCCAAGCGGCACGAGCTGGTCAAGGGGCCCCGCAAAGTCGAGAAGGTCCGGGCGGGGGAGGATCTGTGATGGCTGGGGGGCTGCGGGGAGGGGGAGCCCCGGCCCGGGGGCTCTGTGTCCTGTGCGGGGGCTTGGACGGGAAGTTCAGCGAGGCCAAGGGCCGGGGCCTGCCCTGGGCTCACTGCAGCCCCGAGAGCGCTGCGGGCTGGGAGAGAGGGGCTGGGAACGGAGCTGGCAAGGGGCTGGAGAATTCCTGAGGGAGCTGGAAAGGAAAGGGAGAATTCCTGAGGGAGCTGAAGAGTTCCTGAGGAGCTGGGAAGGGGCTGGAGAATTCCTGAGGAACTGGGAAGGGCTGGAGAATTCCTGAGGGAGCTGGAAAGGGAATGGAGAATTCCTGAGGAGCTGGGAAGGGCTGGAGAATTCCTGAGGAGCTGGGAAGGGATGGAGAATTCTGAGGAGCTGAGAAGGGAATGGAGAATCCTGAGGAGCTGGGAAGGGGCTCAGCCTGGAGTACAGGAGCTCAGGGGCCCTTGTGGCTCTGCACAGCTCCTGCCAGGAGGGGACAGCCGGGAGGTCGGGCTCTGCTCCAGGGAACAGGGACAGGAGCAGAGGGAACGGCCCCAGGGGGGCTCAGGGGGGCACCAGCAGGAATTTCCCCGTGGAAAGGGGGCAGGAATTGGAGCTGCCCAGGGAGGGTTGGAGAATGCATCAGGAATTTTACCAAAGTCTTTGGCTGGAGCTGTTTTATGAATTATCCGAGTGCACAAAGCGGGTTTGGTAAGAAACCCCAGTGCTTCAAGTGCGAGCTGATTTTGTGCTTAAATCATTTACAGATTTTGTAACTAATGAGGGTTTTTTTTCCCCTCCAGGTTGACAAAGTGGCTGAGCTGGTGGCCAGGTGGTTCTACTGTGCCCTGAGCCAGGAGAAGCTGCGTCCACCCATCGTGGCCTGTGAGCTGGGCAGGTGGGACTGCTGCCATGGCCACCTCAGGAGCTAAAAAAGAAATAGAAATATGAATTCTAAATACAAAATTTAATAGGATAAAATTATTTATTATCTATGTGTAAAATATATTAAATTAATATATTTAATATACTATATATAAAATTATATATATACTATATACAAAAATTCATATAAAATATGAATTCAATTTAAATTATACATTAAAATTCTAAATATAAAATTAAATAATACAAAATTAATTTAAATATATTGAAATAATTCAATATGAAAATGTTAAATAAATTGAAATTATAGATATAGAATTATATATACAACATTAAATAATAAAAATTAAAATATATTTTAATAAAATTTAATGCAGTGTATTAGCTATCAATAATATCATATAATATATTATAACATATTAGTATATTAAAATTAATTAGATATATGGTCAATTAAACTTATAAATATAAAATTATACAGAATTAAATAATATAAATATAAAATATATTTAAATTCAAATTAATATATTAATTATAGCAACAATTTAATAATTAATAAAGTTAATATATTAATTATATTGTAATATATTAAATTTATTAAATATAAGCTATAAAAGCAATTAAAATTATAAATATAAAATTACACACTATGGCAAGCCAATATAACCACTGGGATTTTTCTGTTCCAGGCTGTACAACAAAGATGCCATCATTGAATATTTGTTGGACAAATCCCCTGATAAAACCCCCATGGAATCTGCATCCCACATCAAGAGCATTAAGGTAAACAGCTTGTGTTTGATGTGAGAGGTTAAAATCAGATGTTAAATCCCTGAGTCATGCTGTAAAATCTCTGTTTGCTCATGCTCCCACTGTGGATTGAAGTGTTTAAACAACAAAACACAGTGGCAGAAATATTAAGGATTGTTTTCATGCCTCAGAAATCACAGGGAAAAAGCTTAAGGTTTCACAGAATCACAGAATCCCTGGGTTGGGAGAGACCTTCCAGATCTCTGAGTCCAGCCCAGCCCAACAGCTGAGCCAGAGCCTGGCCCCCAGTGCCACATCCAGGCTTTGTTAAACCCCCCCAGGGATGGTGCCTGCACCACCTCCCCGGGCAGCCATTCCAGAACTTTCTGTAAAAAACCTTTTCCTGCTGTCCAGCCTGTATTCCCTTGGTGCAGCTGGAGTGTGTGCTCTGGTTGTGTCAGTGCCTGCAGACAGAGCCCAGCCCCAGCTGAGCACAGGCACCTCTCAGGAGCTGTGCAGAGTGAGGAGGGCACCCCTGAGCCTCCTTTGCTCCAGGTGAGCACCCCCAGCTCCCTCAGTGGTCCTCACAGGGTTTGTGTTCTGGACACTTTCCAACCTTTCCACGTCCTTCCTAAATTGGGGGACCCAGAGCTGGACACAGCACTCGAGGTGTGCCCTCAGCAGTGCCCAGCAAGGGGAGCACTGACCTCCCTGTCCTGCTGGCCCCTCTGTCCCTGCTGCAGGATTGTGTTTTCCCTTTGCAGAACGTGACAGAGCTGCAGCTGGTGGACAACCCAGCCTGGTGTGGGGACAAGGAGAGCATCAAGGGGGACAAGTACGACGACCCGCAGGCTGCACGCTTCATCTGCCCCGTGGTGGGGCTGGAGATGAACGGCAGGCACAGGTCAGGGCTGGGGCTGCAAACTGCACACAGGGCAGGGAAACTGCCTGGGAAGTGGAAATCGTGTGCTGACCCAGGGCTTGGGGGGAATGTCTGTCTGGCTGTCAGCTTTCAGGCTTGAACTTTCACAGTTCAAGAGGTTTCTGGGTGTTCTTTCGTGGTATATTTAAGAGGAAAGGTAAGAGTTAGCCTGTTCTTGAATAAATTAAGATGTGTAATGAAGGAGTAGGGGGGAAATGTTGGCAGGGAAAAAATGCTTAAAGGTTGTTTGGGGGGTGAAGCGCAGGAGATGAGATGTGACCTCCCTTGGATTCACATCAAGCACTTGGAATCATTGATTGATTTGGGTTGGGAAGGACCTTAAAGCTCCTCCAGTGCCACCCCTGCCAAGGACACCTTCCACTGTCCCAGGGGGCTCCAGGCTTCATTCCACCTGGCCTTGGGCACTGCCAGGGATCCAGGGGCAGCCACAGCTGCTCTGGGCAAGAATATTCCTCCCCAATGCCTGCCCTCTGTCAGTTTGGAGCCATTCCATGTGTGCTGTCCCTCCATCCCTTGGAAATCCTCTCTCTCCATCTTTCCTGCAGCTCCTTCAGGCCCTGTGAGGCCACACTGAGCTCACCCCAGAGCTTCTCCTGCCCAGGTGAACAATCCCAGCTCTGCCAGCCTTTCCTCACGTTCTGTCTCTCCCTGTGTTAGGATCAGACTGGAGATGGATTCTCTGTCCCAACCCTGCAGTAAATCTGTATTTTACTGCTCTGGGGCAGAGGATTTCCTCACAGCCTGGTTTGGGCAGAGCAGCAATTGCTTTGTCACCTGAGGGATGAGGAGTTCACAGCTTAATGGTTGCAAAGAATTTCTTCCTCCAGAGAGGGATTAGCCAGGAGATACTCAACATAAAAAAACCAAAATACCTGTTGTGGTTTAATGTAGCCAATACTTTTCATTCATTTTTTGCATTGTGCAAATTAATAATAAATGAATTATGCACTTAACTATGCTGATAGTTTGATTAGATGCAAGAACTTGTAAAGCAGGTGAGCTGTGACCTGCCAGCAGTGCACAGATCTCTCCTAGATTTCTTAAAATTATTGTGTGTTGTCTTTTCTTGGAAGGTTTTGCTTCCTGAGAAACTGTGGCTGTGTGTTCTCTGAGCGTGCTCTCAAGGAAATTAAAGCAGAAGTTTGTCACAAGGTGAGTTTTGCCAGCTGTGGAAGCAGCTGGGCCACGTGCATGTTTATATAATTGCATTCACTGCTCTAAAAAGGGAGTTTTTATCTCAGTATGCAAATTGAAACTGAACTTGTGAAAGTTCTGTTCCATGATGGCCTCAGGTGTTTCTTCATGGCTTTTTAATTTAAAAAAAATATTCTAAATAATTATAAAAATGAGTATTTTTGTTCTCAGAGTGTGATTTGGCAGTAGCTGCTTTTTTCCCAATATTTGGTACTAATTTCAGTTTTTTGCAGGCTTGGGGGTTTTGTTTGATTGGTAATTTTTATTTCCTGAATGCACATGGCTTGTGTTTTATCAGTACCTGTTCTATGGTTAAACTGCTTGTAAGTTCAGGTTATGTTTTGTATTTTTGAAGGACATTGGGTGTTGCTTTTTTCTTTATTTTTGGGTGGGGCCAACTTTGTAGAATTCTCAGCAGTTCTATAAATTATTGTAGAAAATACTGACAATTTCACATAGCTGATCTCATTGTAAAGGTTTTTTTGTAGCTAAGAACAATGATAAAATGAGCAAATACCCTTTTTTCCTATCACTGCTTTCATTATCAGCAAGATTTGTGGTGAGAGTTGCCCCACTAGGGCAGTTATTTAATTTCTCTGAACACCCTGATATTAGATAAAACATGGAGTATATTTATATTAAACAAGACCTGGGAAGGAAACACTTTTGTCTTGGTAAATTGTTGAATATTGTAAGGTTTAATCTCATATTGCTGCTTTCAGTGCTCATTTTGTTCTGTCCTAATGGCTTTGTTTCCTCTTGGCAGATAATCATTTATTTTTAATGAGGTTTTTTTGTTTGCATCTAAATTTTTGTTGATGGATGGGTGTAACCAGAGCATAAAATGCAGGAATGAGATGTTTTGTCCATGGTTTGACCAGTCTGATAATTTGATAAAAACAAAATGGATCTCACATATTTTTCCCTGGCTTTTTTTTTCAGTAATGAGTATTTAACATGCAGCTGGAAATTCTTCACAATATTCAGAAAGATTCTTCTAGAAATAATTAAATGGATATAATATTTAGTCTGTCATGGCTGGGTTTTGATGCACAAAGACAGTGGTGACCAGCTGAGAAAACACACAGAGTAAGGTCAGAGAGTGATTTGGCAGATTTTGGGTCTGTTCTGATGCTGTTCTCCTTCAGAACCAAGAAGGGGAGTAAAACTCTTCTGAACAGGAGCAGAGGGAAGAGGTGCTTTGTGGTATCTCACAGTTTGTTGATGTCCAAAGCACTAATTAGCAGCATTAAAATGATGCTTTAATTTGGAAGCTGTCTCTCTGAGAAGTTCCTGTGGATGTAAAATATGCTGGGAGTGGTGTGGGGACAGGACAGAGGTTATGGGACTGGTGCTGGAAGTCCTTCTGGGGGTCACTTTGAAAGTTAAGGACAAGATTACATTTAAAATGTACTTTCTTGGATCACTTCAGAGTTTATTTTGGACCTGTTTTCAGAGTCAAGTAAACACAGACTTGAACTAGTGCCCTAACTCTGAAGCTCTGTGCCATATCAAACACTTAACCCCAGGTTTAATTTAGATATGAAGCTTTCTGAAACAGATTTCATGCCTGTGGCTGTCAGATCCAGAGCTGGGTGTGCAGCAGTGGTTCCAGGGTCACTTTGGCACTTTCTGCTCTTGGGGCACCAAATTAACAAATATTTGCTGAGGTCTGAAAGTTGTGATTGATCAACTCTTTAACATAATAACACAGAATTCATAAAGGCTTTTCATGTGTGTTTCAAGGTGATGTGGTCATGGTAATCACAGTAATGAGTTGAATACTATTTATTACTTGAGAATGGTTTAATGATGATTTTCCTAACGTTTTGTTTCAAATCCAAAATCCTTTAAGCAAAGAAGGTCATGCTGCAAAGAAATTCTTAAGCTGACATGGCTTAAGTCATATCAGAATTGTATTTTCAGAGGCTTTTTTGTGCAGGTTTTTTGCCTGGTTCAATTTCTGCAAAAGGAGCCCATGATATACAGTGCCTGGCTATTGAACTTTTCATTTTAATTCAATTTGGAAATGATGCACAACAATTGTTCTGTGTGGTGGTGCCAGGGCTGAAAGCTGGAGACTGGATTTGCTGCAATGATGGCAATAAGGAACCTTCCATTCCCATTTTAAAAGACATCATGGAGTGGATAAATGCTGGCAGTGCCCCACAGTGGACTGGAGAGAAATTAATTATGAATATTGCTGTGATTAGTACATGCCAGACACCCATTAGCTTCAGTAATGGTTTGGAGAGAGGCTCTCAACAAGCTCAGCATGAACATGTGCCTGGCTTTTATTTTCCTTTTCTTTTTTAGCTTTATTTCCCTCCATAAAAAAAGCATCTCCAGCAATATTTAGCCACAGGATAAATCCTGGATTATCCATGAAACCAAGCACAGGCCTTTGGGTTGAGTTTGTAAATAAATAGGGACTAGATGGCCTTTCTTTAGGTTAAAGTTCATTTGCAAGAAATGATGTTTCCAATAAACATTTGTGGGAAAATGAGGAGGAAAGTTCCAGCAACCTGGGAATAAGTTTGGAACAAGGAACTTTCATGTCCTGTTGTTGGGTGATTGGATTTCTTTGGGAATAGGCTCAATCTGTAGGCAGTTTTCTTGCAAAAACTCAGGGATGTTTTGGGTGCATATTGAAGATTGCATTGAAATTGCTCCTTTTTAAATTTATATTTTATTTATATTTATTTTTTAATTTATATATTTTTTTATATTTATTTATTTCATTTCTGTTTATAATTTGCAGTTTTTAATCAAGTGAGTTGTCCAGGTGTTACTGCACTTGCTGCAGGCTCTTTGCTTCTCTCAGTCAGGGATGGAAAAACGTTTGAAAAACGGCTTTTTGCTCAGTTTTCCTGCAGTCCCTGGCCTCAGATCTTCCCTGTCTCCTTGCCCTAAACTCCTGCAGAGACTCAGAACAGAGACTTGGAGATAAACATGTGTTCCAGGATCCTTCTGTTATTAGGAGCAAAGCCTGGGAAGGGCAGCAGTGATGTTGCCATGCTACAAAATGAAATTAGGGATGTGGCTGGCCATGGGAAACAAAAACAACCCCTCACCCCCCAGTGGCATGGGCTGTGTCATAAACTGGTTATCACTTATGTACAAGCTCTGAAATTTTAGCATCAACTTCATTATTCAAAACATTTCACTGGACGTTCAGTGGCCATGACTTTAATTTGTTGTTTCTCCATATTTTATCTTTGTTCAGTCACTGCTTCCATTCTATTATTTTCATGCTTTGGCTGTGGACGTGAGGAATATTGACTTCCCAGCTAAATAAGTCACTTAATGAATGATGAACTCCCCCCTTGAATTGAGACATTCTTTGGGAATGACCCCACTGCCACCAGAATAAATCAAACCCGTTTATTTAGGGAGCGCGGGACTGTGCTTTACCCTCGGCGCCCAGAGCGAAGCCGTGCCTGTAAATACCCACATTTTCTGCTGTTTCCTGCCAGCACGCTGCACATCTGCAGGGCAGGGGGCTGAGCTCACACTTGCAGCTGCATGTTGAAGTGGCTGTGCTCCTGCAGGCGCCAGTGCTGCTCCACGGGCACCTGAGCCTGGCGCAGCACCTTGAGCCGCAGCCGCCGCTCCAGGCACTCCAGCGCCAGCGGGTTCCTGGCAGCCTCAAACTTGTTGGCGAACAGATGGGGGGACTCAATGATCCACTGCAGATCCCCCAGGCCATAAATGCAGATGTCTCTGATGTAATGACCTGCAGAGATAAATTGGAGAGGCGTGGCAGCAGCGGGAAGATGAACGGAAGCGTTTTTGAAAAGGAGTTTTGCAGCTTTGGATTTCTGCATAGAAATCAAGCTGGAGGATAATGGCACAATATTATAAAGATATTTAAAATGTTTATGTTTTACGTAAATGGATGTTTGTTACTTCCAGCTGCTTCCCTGCTGTGTTGCTCTGCTTAATAAAATCTTGTAGTTGGGCATCAGATGTTCTGAGCTCCTACTGGGATTCCCTGCTCAATCACACCCGGGCTCAGCCTGCACACTTAGGGATTTTAATTATTTCTGCATGCTTGCCATGTGGTCAGCACTATTCTTTCGTATTGTTGTTCAAATTGAAGGGATTTAAGCCAATGTTGGTGGAAGTTCCTGACAAACATCCTTGTCAGGTAAAGCCCCTCCACCGAGAAGTGATCAAATCAGTGCATTGGTAATTAGGGACTGAAAGAAGGGTTGTCAGTGTGTGGATACTGTGCTCATCTCAAAATACATCAAATATGTAACTAATAAATTAATATAACACATGTCTCAAAATCTCTTCAATTGGATATAGTGCAGTAATTTATAGGGTGCCTTGTTTTATTTAATACTTCCAAGATATTATATATGACCACCGAAGCACATTTAATAGCTGGTTTAAATAATATGTAATCACCAATTAATGCTTACCAGTGAATCAAATTTAAGTTCATGATCAAAATTCACGTTACCTTTGCAGCCTTTGTGTGAGAGCCCTTCTTGATCTTTCCATTTAATGGCTCTTAGGTCTCCTTGCCAGCCTGCATTGGGTGTAGCCCCTGGAGCATCTTTAAAAACAAAAGGCTCTGATAAGATTCTTTACTACTTATTACAGGGAGAATATTCACTGCTGGACACTTCTTAACTGCAGTCACATTAAGTATTTATTTGCAGATATTTATGTCATAAGAACAGATATCATTCTCAGTATTACCACTTTTTAAAATTTCTTCAGAGCAAAAGCTTTCATGCAGCAAAAACTTCTTTTTCACTAGAATGTTTCCAACTCCTGCTCTGCACTGAAGTAGTAATTTCCTGCAATCAAGCTTTGTTTCTCAGCCACCAGATGTGGCTTCAGCAAAGCTGAAGAAATTACTTTTATTTCTGCAATTCAGAGCAGTTCATCTCCGAGCTCGCAGCCTCTCCCTGCCCTGCTGGGGTTATTTGTGGCAGAAATGCCAAACTCTTACCAGGTAAACGATTGAGGGTGACCCAGTAGTGCTCATCAGGGCTGTAGGTGTCCCTGGACCACTCCAGCAGAGCTTTAGCCCGGGCATCACTCAGTGTGAACTCCACAAAGGCCTTGGTGAGGATGTAATAGGCACTGCCAAAATAGATGGTCAGGTTGTGTGGGGGCTGAGCTTTCCTGACCTTTGCTGGGTACACGTATGGCACTCCAGAATGCACGTACTCCCTGTAGCTCACCTCTGTCCTGTGCTTCACATGCAGGGGCTGCACTATCCCAGGAGTGATATTTTTACCATTCCATTTACTTTTTATGTATTCTATGATTTCTTTGTTTGTTTTCAAGGGGTAATCTTGACCACACAGATTAATAACATAATTCCACTGAACTCTGGAGTTAACGAGGTCTCTCATGCAATTAATATCAGCTTGTAATCTTGAAAACCCTCCATAAACAACGTGCTCTCTTTTGGAGGAAATAAAAATATTTTCAAAGCAGTTAACGATGTTCTGTACAGCAGTTTTATAGTCTCTGGGTGACTTTTCATCAATGTGGATGCAGTAAATATTCTGAGGCATATAAATAGCTCTTAGCAGCCTCACAAACATTTCCAGTTCCTTGTGAATTGTAATAATGTATGCCAAGGAGAAATTTCCTTCTTCCTCTGACAGTGGTCTGGTGATAAAATGCAAAGTCTTCAGGACTGTGGAGCAGCTGCAGGAGGTCTGAATGCAGCTGAGGGCTTTGGGCTGGAAGGACTTCTGACAAAAGTTTCCAATTCTAAACGCTGCAGGTTTCCCCACAAAAAGAGCAGAGCAAAGTTCATCTGGGTAAAAACCACACTCCGCTCTTTTGACACGGAATTTTTGCTCATCTGACTCATAAAGTGGAACCTTTAGGTAAATGAAGGTGTAGATGAACATACAGACAGCAGCACACACTAAAAATCTTGATTTCTTTGCATGAAGTGGGTTCATCTTTTACTTCCAGATCCTGTCTTCTTATGATAGTCCAGTTAAACATTCAGATCATCTGAAAGGAAAAGTGAAACAGAGGGAAAGAACCTTTCTGTTTGTTTTTTAATGATGTCCTGTTAGTGCTGCATTTATAAATGTTGGGATTACTACCAGGAGGAACTGTGTGTGCCCACACTGAGTGCACTCAGCCCTGGGAATGCAGAGCCACGAGGCAGGAATTTTGTCTTTCCAGCACAAAATGATCTCAGAATGATACAAAAGGACCCAAAATGGCTTTGAATTCTTTACTGCTTGACCAAGGGGTCTCAGCCCCTCAGGTGGGAGATTCCTGTGCTCAGAGGTGAGCCCAGGGAAGAAGTGAGCTCTGAGTGCTCAGGAGCAGCTGCTGCTGAGATTTCCTCAAGGCCTGGAAAACTTGAAGTTCTGCCAGAGGATCAGAATTCAGTAAATTAAATCAACAGAAAATTTATTAAATAAACAGAAGGAAGAGGCTAAAACATAATCCACGAAATACACTGGGTTTTATCCTTATAAAGTCAGCTAATGTTTCTGACTCTGAGATGATTTTTTTTTTTCTTCTGACATCTTTGTATTTGAGCTTTGGAAAACTGAACAAGGGGACAAAACTCATTTCTTATTTTTGGTATTTATGCATACCCTGAGATAAGCACACAACTGCCAGTACTGGCATTCTGAGATATCCAATTTACAGCAGTATTAGCACGGGAGTTTTTCCATTGTGGTCTTTTCCTTACCTTTGCCTTGTTGAACAGTCAGAAAAATGAGGCAGCAGTGTGAATCCCACAGCAATTACATGAAGTCTTTATCCTTGAAGCACTTGGTATTAAAATTCTAGAGAAAAATATCAAGGAGAAGGTGCATCAACTGCCATTAAGCTTAATAGATAATTTTAAAAATATTTTAATTTAAAGGTAATTAAATTTCTCTTCTTTCATTCAATTATTTTTTTAAACAGAGTTTGCAATTCACTTTGAAATATTTTACATTTAGCAGCTGTCAAAATCATGAAGTATTTAGCTTTACACAAGAACAGAGAAAAATAGATTTTTATAAAGACAGTTTCATTAGAGGAATGCTGCTGTGGTTAGAAGGCTCGAGGTTTTCATTACAAAGAAGTGGAAAATACTTCTTTTTAATAAAAAAAAAATCAGTATCTCCCTTAAAAGCTTGAAAATAAAGAGAGCATTGTAGTTAAAGCACCAACAAGACATAAAATTCAAAAAGCATTAAGAAAACAAATTGAACTGAGGGAAGGGATCCTCCATATTCCCACATTTTTAACATCTTATTAGTCTGTTGGGAAAGAATGTATTTATCTTCTGGTCCTTACTGGTATGCACTGGATTTCATGCTGGAATGGTGCCTCCTTCCCACTGAGCATTCCAGAAAGCAGAGCTGGCTGTTAGGTGCAGGGCTCCTCCATTTTCCTGGGATGTTCTTCAGGCAGCTCAAAGAAAAACAGGAGGGAATCAGCTCCCAGGAGAATCTTTTTGCCTTGGAGCTCCTCAGGGATCCATTTAGTGGGTAAACAACCTTGATGGGAGCCTTCCATCCATCTGAGCAAAAAGCTGCAGCAGATCAAGTCCGTGTCAACCTTTGGATGCTGTGCAGAAAGCAGGAGAGCAGGGGTGCCACTGCAAGGTGAAAAGCAGGATTTTTGCATTAAAAATGAAATTCAATCCCTCCTGTGCCAGAGCCCAGAGGGGTTTCTGTGAGGACCATGATGTACATACCCAAGTGCTGGAATTGGGGAAACACTGATTTCTGTGGAGCCCTAATTACACAATACTACTTGAACTTGTAAAGAAGAAGGTGAAGGACTAGCTTCTGCTCTAAAACTTCTATTTTGCTTTATATATATATATTACTATATTCTAAAATTTTACATTTTAAGTTTTCTACTATGTGAGATTACACACTTCTATTCAAACTACACACTTAGAATCTATTATTTAATTTTGGAAGCTTTCCTTATGGCTTCAGGTTAAATGTAGTGTTCTCTCAGGGGTTAGTGTCTGATAGTACAGAAAGTTTAAAATTTTTAGCAACTAGGGTTCTAACAGAGCTGGACTTGGACAAACTCTTTATTCTGAGGAAATTATTGGTAGGAGGAACATTAAGATTCCTCTGAATTATTGAACATCACAAGATCTCTGCTGTGTCACGGGGAAGTTTCATTCTGAATATAAGAATTACACTAAAAACAGCAGGCAGCTGTAAAAATATTTAGGATTTTATACCTGATTAAATATAAAACATCTTAACACCAAGATTGTGGGTTCAGTCCCTGTACAGGTCATTTACCTGGGGCTGAACTCAGTGATCCTTGTGGGTCCCTTCCAACTTGGAATATTCTCTGAACCTGTCCAGAATGAGGGTGCTTGGCAGGTTTTTTTTATTTAAATACATTTTGGACAGGTTGCAAAGTGTAATTCTAGGGAGCCAAGCTGTAAGCTGCATGTTTCATACACCTGAATTTTTATTACCCTTCAAGTAATAGCTTCTGGGGCTGTTTCAGGCTGTTAAGTGCTTACCATGGTTTTTTTCCTACTGGACTGTGTGACATCTAGAAATTGTATTTTTATGGCAGCATAAAAGTACACAAACACCCCATAATCAGGTAAGAGGCAGCAATTCCTCTCCAGTGTTAACATCTTTATGGGCAACTGCAAGAAGAGAATTTGACATCTTCCAGCCTCGTGAGGACATTATGGGATGAAACCTTTTTGGTACCAGATTTAGAGCTGGAATTGCAGCTGTCAGTGCCACTGGATATGAAATTTGTTGTTTAACAGGATCCTCTCAGCCCTGTCTGTTGGAAAGATTATTATCCCAAATTTCCTGCTGCCCTTGAGGAGCAAGAGATCCCGCTGGGAATGTCCACTGTCCATAATGATCCTGCTGGGACTGTCTTGCCCTTGAGTCTTATTATGTAAGAGTGCTATGACAAGTACTTTCTGTTAGCACAGTGTCTCTGAAACTCAGCATTTCTTACGTTATGCACAGGTTTTCTAAATCTGGAGGATGAAGTTGTATGAATTTTTAAATCTCCTGCGAGTAGCGTGTGGCATTCTTGGAAAAAAAGAAAAAAAAAGCAGGGATTTTCAAGCACCTCTGTGGATGCATTTAAGGACATTGCTTAACAGAAAATTGTTGTAAGCCTAAGATGCTCTGTCTCAATTAACAAAGTAAACTCTAGAGGAAAGGGGAATTATGATGATGCCTGGAAAAAGCCTGTGAAAGTCAGCTCAGCATGGAGACCCCATTAGCACACACTGTTTTGCAGTAACAACTCCTTTTGCTTTTTGCTGTTTCTCCAGCCATTGCATTTAGGACTGCACTTTGAAACATTCTGGTTTCTCTGTGCTCTTTGCTTTTGTTTAATATTAAAGTTTAGATCAAGTTTGCTTTGTATGACCTCGTAATTTAGTGAGACAAATGACTTGGGATTGCTTCATCTGCTAATGAAATGCTGAAAAAGCATTAAATACTTATTTCAACTTTTTTATACCTGTTTTTTTTTCTGTTTGAAAGGTATTTGTGCAGGCATTGATGTAGACATTTTATAAACCAGGGAAGACTTAATTCAATCCTTAAAAAAATGTTAAAATCAGTTCTTTTAAATGCTTTTTCCATTGCTTTGGTTTCTGTTTAAAAGGGGGTCAGGACATGGAGTCTGCTTTTGGACTTTGAGATGCATTGAGTAAAAACATTTCGCCATCAAACCCAGTTATTTAAATCATTATTTAAAAACACTGCGTAATTTGCATATACAGCAAATTTATTAAGTTTTAATGTTCGTCTTTGCTCACAGTAACTTAAAACAAAAACAATGAAAGCTATTTAAAATAAAAACATTGAAAGCTATTTAAACCTTAGTTCTAGAGCTGTAAAAAATAAGTTGTGGTTTTTACAATACAATTAGTACTAATGACCTCCATCCTTCTGTGCGTCCATCACAACGTAGGTGATGTAGGTGATGCAGCCTTACCTGGTGCAGACCCAGCCAGGGGATGGCAGCTGTGATTTTTGTAAGATAATTAGTATTAATGACCTCCATCCTCCCTCTGTGCATCCATCAAAAATGTAGACATTTTATAAACAAGGGAAGACTTAATCCTTAAAAAAATGTTAAAATCAGTTCTTTTAAATGCTTTTTCCATTGCTTTGGTTTTTGTTTAAAAGGGGGTCAGGACATGGAATCTGCTTTTGGACTTTGAGATGCATTGAGTAAAAACATTTCGCCATCAAACCCAGTTATTTAAATCATTATTTAAAAACACTGTGTAATTTGCATATACAGCAAATTTATTAAGTTTTAATGTTCGTCTTTGCTCACAGTAACTTAAAACAAAAACAATGAAAGCTATTTAAAATAAAAACATTGAAAGCTATTTAAACCTTAGTTCTAGAGCTGTAAAAAATAAGTTGTGGTTTTTACAATACAATTAGTACTAATGACCTCCATCCTTCTGTGCGTCCATCACAACGTAGGTGATGTAGGTGATGCAGCCTTACCTGGTGCAGACCCAGCCAGGGGATGGCAGCTGTGATTTTTGTAAGATAATTAGTATTAATGACCTCCATCCTCCCTCTGTGCATCCATCAAAACGTCAAGAAGGAGGAAAAAAAGCTAACCTGACAGCAGATTTGCTAGTTTTCTCAGTAAAATGACCAGTTGGCATAAGGAAAAAGGAGGAACCTGCGTGCTGCGATGAAAACGATGCAGCCTTACCTGGTGCAGGCTCAGCCAGGGCACGGCAGCTGTGATTTTTATCACACAATTACTACTAATGACCTGCATCCTCCTTCTGTGCATCCATCACAACGTAAAGAAGGGGAAAAAATTAATCTGACTGCAGATTTGCATGTTTCCTCTGTAAAATTGACCAGTTGGCATAAGGAAAAAGCAAGACTTGCGTGCTGCAGCCTTACCTGGTGCAGGCTCAATCAGGGGATGGCAACTGTGATTTCTATAA